CCCCCCCAGCTCTCCCTGCCCTCATGGATGCTAAGGGCGGAGGAGACCGAGCTCTCTGATCCTCAACTGGCAGTCAACCGGTCGGTGCTTCGCTCAAAACCAGCTTCAAGTTACCCTGAGGCTGACCACATGCCCTTCGCGTCGTCAGAGTGTGCGTGCCGCAGAAGAAAGAGTTGCGGGGATAAATCGGTCCCTGGACTTTGCATCAGAATACATAAGTTCATACTTTATACAAAAAAGGTGCATTCCTCAGAGCTTTCTGGGCAGTGCATTTAGGTATCTGTTGAAAGAAGAAGACAAAAGAGTTGGATATGGTCTTGATTTTAAAAGCAGAACATCAAATGCTTTATGGGAAGTTGATGAGACGTAAGTTCTTACCTCTGCATTCATACTTGAGGTCTGAGAAGTATACCATCTCTTGTGAGAAGACAAAAAGACCTAGCCTGCCGCCAGCATATGACTTGTCATAGATGTTACCAGAATCTGCCATGATCTTCTTGCCCTCGTACATCACAACTCTGTTTGAAAACAAGAAAAAGTTAAGCAAATGAGGAGTAAAGCTTGGGATTCAAACGTCACACCCATGTAGAGAGTACATTCCTATCCTCTACCCACCTTATAAGTCCTGTTCTCGGTCTGTGGATCAGATGCCATCTGTAGGCGGTGAAGTCTTTCCATCCAACGCTCTTGGGGTCATGCCAGAGAGTGCGGACCTAAGGCAAGGGAAAGTAAACAGCCATTGGTTTATATTTGTACACTTCCCTATATTTAAAACAGCATTTGGGGAGTATAACCCCCACAAGCCTACCAAATATCTTACCTGTCCTGGTGTATTTCCTGTGTGCCAGAGGGCGTTCCTGAGGTGCTCTCCTGGACCAGTGGTGGAGTTAACCATTTTAATGGACAAGCCAGAGTAGCCCTGGGCCTTGGTGGGTTTATTCGACCAATATGTCTGTGTAATCTGCTTCCACATCACCACGTAGAACCTGGAACTGGACTGGTATCCAAACACAAAGCCGGCGTAATCATCATCCCTCTCAGTGTTGATGAAGAAAGTCCCGCTGAAGTCCACTGAATTGAACTCGTGATAACCTGAAGGAAAAATTCAAGTTTATGACCAGAATTTCAATTGAATTCAAAACCAATTCAAAACCTTTATTTATTTTAGGTAAAATCCCATTTTCTATCCCACACAATAATGACTTGACGTGGTCAAATATTTGTTTTAGACATTTGCAACCTATTCTTTTTACTTACCGACAGCGATTCCAGGGTCGCAGTTGACAGTCTGAACCAGCTCTTTGCCTTGATGGCGGACGACCCAGTTAGGATCAATCTGGGAAGTGCCTTTGGGGTCGAGAGGAACCATCTGGAACTTGCGGAAGTCTGTCTCACTAATGTCAAAGTTTTCTGGGCACACGTCGTAGATGTCAGGCACGTTGTCTTGGTCAAAGTCGTCTTTGCAAGCATCTCCACGACCATTACCTGAAAAACATACATCACATACTCATTAATAATAGTTCCTAAGGTGTTTCGAAGTTCTATCCAAATGCTTTGTTTCAACTTATAGCGACTGTGTCCTTCACGTTTTAAAAATGGCCTATCAACTCACCGTCAGAGTCCAGTTGGTCAGTGTTGAAGACAAGTCTGCAGTTGTCCTTGTCATCAGGGACACCATCGTTATCGTCATCATGATCACAGGCGTCTCCCTTGCCATCTTTGTCATGGTCAGCCTGGTTGGCGTTGGGGATATACGGGCAGTTGTCCAGGTTGTTCTGGTGTCCGTCCTCATCGATGTCCTGGTTGCTGTCACACTTGTCTCCCACTCGGTCATCATCTGAATCCACCTGAAATGGTCAAATGATTTGACTTCAGTGTTCTGACTTATTAATAAATGGCTTCAGGGGACAATGATGTCGCTCTTTGACATAGGCAGGTGATTACATTTCATCCTATCTTTTTTTTTGTTTTCCCTGCAGTGTTTCCTGCTACCATTGTTTAGTCGTCTGTCCTCTCATGCTTTCATTACAGACTTTCCAGTCTAAGGTTGCCTCTGTAAAGCTGCCAAGCTCAATTTGTCCTAGATCTGTCAGCAGGTTTTAGCGAGTGAAAATCTAACCTCACTTCACAAGACTCTGTTGCTCCACCTACTCCAATTTGCTTGTTGAGCACCTCCGGCATCTGTAGTAAAGGGCGAAGTCACTTTATCCTTATCTGGCAGAACTAGACATACCCTTTAGCAGTAGGAAATAATAAGGGGATGAATGAAAGAAGTTGAAGGGTGGGAAGAGGTATTTTTGTTATCTTTTGAAAGACATTGCTGTGTTTATGTCTAGACATGTCTTTTTTGGCCTTTTAATTGCACTGTGCAATTCAGTCCTCATTCACTTTCTCTGTCAATTCACTCTTTAAAGACCACATTCGTGTAGATTTAGGCTCACCCCTCCTTCCCCCGTCATTTTCCTGAGTCCCGTTGTTCAACACATTCCTATTTCTCAGTGTAGCATAGCACAGGTGGACTGAGCAGGCCCGTGGTGTGCAGACAGGGCACTAACACAGCCCAGGGCCAGCCCATTCCTCAGTAATATCCAGCCTAGGGCCTCTTCCCTCACATTAGTCAGCTAACGTCAATGGGCCATTGAAAAGACCCCTAGCCCCCCACCACGCCTTATTGAACTGATGTGCCCTTCTGCTGCATACAGGATTTTCTCCACCTTTACATGGCGTGATTAAGCTGAGACAGCTACACAGGGCTAATCACTGACGCTCTGTCTCAATTGAAAGACAGATATATGCTGAGCTATAGAGAAAAGCAGGGAGATGAATGTGGATTATTGTTGGTGGGTGAGGTGGAAGAAATGGGGAAGGGTGGTGTGTCCACACACCTGATCTGGATTATGTTCCAGAGGGCAGTTATCACACATGTCTCCCACGCCGTCCAGATCTGTGTCCTTCTGGTCGACATTGTACACATGGGGGCAGTTGTCTTTCTCATTCATTATGCCTAGGGAATTAATGGGAACATCCAAAAGTAAGTACACTATAGGCATAATCTCACTGTTTATCTGCAGATGATTGGTTCATTTTCAGTCCTTACCATCTCCATCAATGTCCACAGCACAGGCGTCTCCCTCTCCATTGTTGTCTGTGTCCGTTTGGTCTGGGTTACTATTGTAAGGGCAGTTGTCGCAGCGGTCACCAACATCATCGCGGTCATAGTCGTACTGCCTGGGGTTGTAAACGAATGGGCAGTTGTCCTGTTTGATAAAGAGGCAGCAAAATGGGAAGAGAAGAGTAGAGTGTAAGTTTTCAGGTGCTTGTCCCTATCCATCTGAGGCTGATTGGATCTATTTACAGGGAGGGAGCAATGCAGGATGAAAAGGTACTTTATTTTATGCCCTGTCCCAATTCTAATGTTGGGATTAGCAAACACACAGTGCAGCCCCTTCAGAGCTGTACCTCAGTGTTGGAATTTGAGGTTCTGGCTCAGGCAGGGGAGAAACATTTGCTTTCCTGCCTCCCCTCCTCTTCATCCTCTCCACCTGCCTTCTTATTAGATGGCATGAATGATGAATGCAAACATTTAAGAACACACACACACACACACACACACACACACACACACACACACACACACACACACACACACACACACACACACACACCATTTTCCAAGACTATGATCACTAGATAATTGTACTTACCCTATCGTCAGGAATGCCATCATTGTCATCATCGTTGTCACAGGCATCTCCCATGCCATCCTTATCGTGATCTTCTTGCCCAGAGTTAGGGAGGTTAGGACAGTTGTCCTGAATAACAGACATCGCAACCAGACAGTCAGATGAAAACAAAAAATGAACTTAATTTCTGAAAGACGAAGAAAAACTAACTTTGCTTCACAAGACATAGTAGAGCCTAGCTGCTTCATCATTATGTACCTTCTTGCAGTGGTAGGTGGCGTTCTCCACACACACCAGGTCAGAGTTGGGCCATCCATCCAGATCCGTGTCCTCTCCGCAGATATGGCCGTTGCCAGCATAGCCGGGCTTGCACTCACAGCGGAACATGGGATCGGCAAAGTGTCCAAGGTAGTTACAACGGGCGTTTTTGTTGCAGTCATGGCTTCCATCGAGGCAGGGATTACGGGCTGTGCACACCTGGAGGGTGAATAAGGAATGCATAGATTAACACACTGTGCATAGTCAAAATTCTGTTTCTGGAAAAGTTGGACATTCAAGTATATTCCTGTCCTGGAGATGCATTTGTATCTGTACCAGTTATTCCTGTTGTTAGTATCTTTCATTTTATCTGCACTTACCTGTTTCTTGGCAGCAGCCTGCTCCACACCTCTGCCAAACGGTTGGGGTCCTGAGTAGCGAGAAGGACATGGCAGACAGTTGTAGCCAGGCTCAGTGTTCTCACAGCGGTGCACGCCATTAAACTCAAAGCAAGCGTCTGGGACCTCCTTGCACTGTTATTAAGATAAAAACATTGAGCCCATTAAGCTGGGGACTTGCAACATACATTAACCATGTTTTATACCTGACAAAATAATCATGGATGATCTAATAGTTTACCTCATCAACATCTTTGCACTTGATACCATTGCCAGCGTAGCCAGCTGGGCACTTTCCGCACTTCCAGGACCCATCAGGTAAACTGGTGCACTTGGCTCCAGCAAAGCAGGGGTTGGACAGGCACCCATCTGAAAACCACAATGTTGGATTATTATCGAAACATCATCTGCAACATCAAAGGTATCCCTTTTCACTAATGAGCTATTTGTGAAGGAAATGATCAGGATATGACATACCTAATTGATTTAAACAAACAATATAACAAAATGCCAAAAACAGTGATAAAGTAAATTAAACATTGTAAGACAATCTGTTTCAAATAATACAGATGGGCTACATGGAATTTAATTGTAGGAGCTCTGTAAGTGATTGAAATGTCTCACCAACTGGACAGGCTATCTTGTTGCACATCTGGGTGTCTTTGGGATTACCGATACACTCTTTGCCACCGTATTTGGATTCAGGGTTATTGCACAGGCGTTTTCGATTCTGGACACCGCCTCCACAGGTGAGAGTGCAGGTGTCCCATGGAGCCCAGGGTCCCCAGTTACCATTGACTAAGGGAGACGAGAAGAAATTATTATTTATTTCTATTTGTGCTGTGTTTTAAAGACATATAAATGCAGGCAGGAATATCAGATGTTGGGACTTACTTGGGCACGGAGATTTCTCACACTTCTCAGTTTGCCGTCCTTCTCCCTCACAGTTCTTGCCTCCAAGCTGAGGGGTGGGGGAGTTGCAAAGGCGGATACGGGTGATCACACCAGCACCACAGGTGACGGAGCAGGAGGACCAGGGTGACCAATGGCTCCAATTGCCGTCCTGCTTGACTAAAGGACACAGAGAAAGGTCAGTTATCAGGAAGCCAATTGCTGCTCCTTTGTGGCTCAATCATATATTATGGCCCAGTGATGATGAGCCAAGTATCTCTCAGATAGATAGGGTTAGGCTTGCTGCTTATTTGGTTTTGTTTGGCTGGGTGAGAGTGTGTTGTGTTAACTTACATCGCTTGTCACACTCCTGGAGGTAGCAGTCGCGGGTCTGCACAGAGGTGCCCTCGCAGTTGCTATTGATACGGTCGCAAGAGCGCCCACGCTGCTGGATACCCCGCCCACATGACACGGAACAATGGGTCCATTCAGACCACGGCGACCATCCGTCTTCTGCATAGTCGCTCGCTGAGAAGGAGGGAGAGAGTATGAGAGAGAGGGGAAGAGGCAGACAATAAAAGGGCTATTCCTGCGAGGCAGCACCCCTCACAAACACCCCCAAGCCTAAATGAGGAGGGAAAGCTCTTTAAGCGGAGGGCTAATAGTGTGGATTTAGCTGGGAGTTGGACAGATAGAAGGTCGTCTGTTGAGAGGGAGGGCAGAGAATAACTCGCTGAGAGAAACAGAAAGGGCCACTGTCCTCGGGGTACATAGGGATGCCCCATCGGCTTATGTTTTCTTAGAGAGGAAACAGATTTTGCAAACACGGCCCTGGGTGTGTAATGACTTCGACAAGTGGCTGAGGTCTGGATGAATGGTGCTTCCCCTGTTTATTTAGGTTTTAGGGAGGCATTGCAGCCAACCCTGCATTGGTATGAGGAGCATGTCACTTCTTCTTAAGTAGAAGATGGCTTCACTGAACAGCCGACCAATTTTCCATACCGCTTTAACCAATTTTGGCAAATTACAGCCGTTTCAAAGATGTTTTTGAGCACAAAGAACCAATGTTCCAAAGACATAAGCGCCCTTTCATTTACTCGGATGTTATTGCAGTTAAATCATCTCTAAAGTTAACATGTTTTCTCTTGAATAGAGATCTTTGCCAGGGAAATATTTGTGGCTTTTTGTTGTACATGGCAGATAACATAGAAATGGCTCTTTCCGTGAATGAGGCAGTGTTCGAATGCCCTGTGTGTTAGTTTAAACAGGGGCCGTTTGTACAGTAGCTTACAGTGCACGTTTACGTAAATGCAATTAAAGTGTGCTTTCCTTTAGCTATGCAGATTCTAACAATAAGAAATACTTACGTGTTCCACAGCGAGGGCAGCACTCTCCATCAGGAATAGTAGCATTAGCACAGGAGAGCAGGGGGCAAGAGATCTTGCGGCACACGGTAGCAGAGTTCTGCAGGAGCAAAGAGATCAAATGAAGTGTTAAACACATGCTCAAATATATGAATATCTATCAAGCGTTGCTGCAGTTTTCTACTAAATGAAGTCCAGATGTTGGGTTGAATCTCACATTGTTAAATGGGTTGAAACAATCCAGAGCAGTGTCACTATTGTGGAGTTGAATGTTCTGTGAACCTTTTTAAAAGGAGTGCGTGTTACAGAGTAATTTCTTTAAATCCAAGTTTTTGTCCATGTCCGTGCAACCAACTCATTAAACACTCTGCTCCAACATCTGAGTTTGCACAGATTCACCATGCCTGACAAACAAAAAAGCAGGATTCTGGCTGGGAGCGGAGACCCCTGCAGTCAACCACCTGCCAACTGGGTCAGGAGAGGGTGGGAATGAGTCCAAAAGTCCCAATAATGGAAGTGGATTTGACTGTAGAGCCGAAACTGGGCGCTGAGCCGCAAACAAGTGAAGCCAGATTGTCAGCACAACCTGTGTGGGTAGTACAGTGTGAATGACTCAGGGATCTCAACTGGCTAACTATGCATGATTATGTTCTCCCTCCTGGATCTGATCAGGGAAGAAAAAGTGAAAAAAGTGCAACTAGTGTATCAGTAGAAGAGAAAATCAGGAATGTAATGGTGAAATGCAGGGACGCTCAACCAATCCTTTATTTCCACTTCATTCAGTGAGTGCCAAGGTCTTGTTTTTAATTACAATGCATCACTTGAAGTCTGGTCAAGTCCGTCTAGGCCACACTCAAGTTGAACTTCTGTCAGCGGACCTCTTATTACAGCAGTAAAGGCTGCCGTTGAGCTTCTGCCAGGCCTTCACACCACTAATTACTGACCAGATCAGTTGAGTGGTGTCAAGTGTGTGTGTAGGTGTGTGTGTGCGATTGGTCTTTCCATTTGAGTGTGTGTGCGTGTATAAACAAGTTGGAGTACAGAGTGCATCCCCTCACACGTGTATTTAAGTACTTAAGAAGAGACAATACACACTCTGGAGATCTCACCTGACAAGTGCACTCGGTGCAGTCATCCACGGTCCACTCGTCTCTGTTCTTGTGCACGATGCCGTTGTGGATGCAGACTCCGCTGTGAATGCCAATGCGGTTCTTAATCAGCTTGTTCTCATCCGTCTGGGAGGGAGCAGACAAAACACATATTTGAATTAGATGCCAATAAGCTTCTACCTTTCTCATTAAAATGTACTAAAGATATGAAAGAAAGTATGTTTTGATTGCTTATAAAAAAAGATGTGAATATGCACAACTACTTTGTTGTTAATCCATACAGGCTTGACATTATACTATCTAGAGAGAACATTTGTTTTTTGTAGAACTTTATATGGGTTGGGAAAGCTTTGAACTGATGCCATAAAGCTGTTTAACTTTTGTTTTGCGTGAATAAGATAGTTCTGGCTAGTGGACATTTTAGATTTCAGTATTTAAGTTTAGCACTATTCACTCTAAAATGCATAAATCCTCTAGGCTCCATTGTTTTCAGAGCACTCAAAGTATTGTTAACTTAATTTGATTAACAGAACATAAACTTTTGCTTTGAAAACTGCAATACCTTGGAGATACCTAATGTCTAATGCTATTTTGACAACGGTGGTGCACACAGGTGGTGACGGTAACATAGAGACTAGACACATCTAACACACGCACACACGCACACACACACACGCACACACACACGCACACACACACACACTACGCGCGCGCAGGCAGGCAGGCAGACTGTCTCCTGCTCTCTGCCACCAGACGGTCTGGCAGGTTTCCTCCTCCTTACCAGCTGGCGGAGCTCATTGGACAGCTCCTTCACCACCACACCGAGGCCCTTCAGCTCCTTAAACATGCCGATCAGATCCTCACAGGAGAAGCCACAGACCATCTGCAGGTCTTATCAAAAATACAGGGAGGAAAGTCATGATTTGGCAGTGAAGGTATAAGAAAAAGTGTGATCAGTCGAAATAGAAAAACAGCCATGAGAAAAGGAGGGTGATGTAAGCGGTGTTTACCTTTAGTCTTGTGTCCGGTGTACTCTGTTCTGATTGCTGAGGATCCATTGAGGTTCTCCAGGACCAGGGAGTCGGTCCTTATAGCTGAAATAAGAACAGTACCATACATCAAACTACATATTTGCACACTCATCTTGTCTTATTAATGAGAGGGATTACTATTCTCAAATGTTACACCTCCCACAATTACTCATTAAGACAAGTAATATGTTAATGCTGCAGCCCAGCGACCACAGCACCCTGAGAAATGTGCATAGTGGCATTCCTGTGTGACAAGTTGTAAACTGTGAGGCTTTATGTAGAAATCATCAAGCAATTAAAGTGTAACCATTTCTTTGATAAGGACTTAGTACTTGGCAGAACATGAAGCACATGGTGGTGAGTAAACAGACAAGATTTGTGAGTACTTACAGCTTTGGCATCCTTTGTTGCGCAGGATCGCTTCCAGTGACGCTCCAAACACAAACCGGACGTTTTGTAGGACCCCCTGCAAGTATGGATGTTCACTTTAAACTATGATCCTGAAAATCAGCTAATGTTTCATTGCTGAATGTAAAAGCACATAAGAAGTGGTGTCAAGTAACTATGGTGTTACTCTAAGTACTACTTAAGTACAATTTTGAGGGATTTCTACTTTAGTATTTGAATGTTTTGCTTCGTTCTTCTACAAGGCAAGGCAGGGCACGTTTATTTATATAGCACCTTTCAGTACGCGACAATTCAAAGTGCTTTACAAAATAAAAATAAAATACATTTAAGAATAAATACAGTAAAAACACATACACCACTTCAATTCAGGGGTAAATGGTGTACTTTTACTCATTAAAGGCAGCTAAAAGGACTTATTTACCTTTAGCTGCCTTTAGTTACTTTGCAGATTTGGATTAATGATGTGAAATATAATAAACACTTGAATCAGACTTTAGTTACACCTGGAGTAAATTCACAAGCTACCCTGCAGTATACAAAGTCACAAAAACTAGCTGCACCTTTACCAGCTTTGATAACACTTAGATTAATACATTATTACAATACAAACATATACTATTCTGAAAAGTGCCAATCTGCATAATGACTATACTTTTACTTTATGTATAGTTTGATGCTAATGCTTTTGTACTTTTACTTGAGTAACATTTTGAATGCAGGACTTTTACTTGTAACAGAGTATTACACTATCCACTCCACAAAGACGTGACTGAATTTCCTCTGTTTATAATGACGGGTGTTCTCACCATGAACCTGTCCTTCACGGCTCCCTTGCCGATCCGGAGCTGGGAGCTGGCCGGGGTCTCCAGGGTGAGGATGCTCTGGATGGGCGCGTCCAGCTCCGCGGTGTTCACCTCCTCGCATCCGGCGTACAGCTGCGCGCGGTCCTCCTGCACGAACAGCGTGATATTCTTCCACTGCCCCGTAGCCAGGTCCGCATCTTCAATGGAAACCACCTGCTGCTTGTTCTCGGTGGAGAAAACTATGTCGAGGGTGTTCGCCTTTCCATTGGAGACGATCTCGAACACGGGTCCGGATCCGTCCTTCTTCTCCACGGTCAGGAGGGAGCCCCTGGTCCGCTTGAACTGCTTGAAGTTGAGCAGGAGGAGGAACCCCCTCTCGGCGTGGATGGAGTCGATCAGGTCCCTAAAGGCGCTCTCGGGGACCGGGGGGATCAGGTCCGGGTTGAGGATCTTGTAAGCGGGGCTGTACGGGTCGTCTCCTTTCACCAGGGTCACCCCATGGTTCTTCTTCGGGACTTTGACCAGCTCAAACAAGTCATACACGCTATTGTCGTCTCGACTCTCTGCGGGGAATAATAAGAAGCATTCAGCCTTTGTCTGGCAGTGCACCAGACATCCTGTTGTTTTCACTTTTTTTCACTTTTTTTTCCCACTGCAAACTGCTTAGAAAACTCTCCAGACTCCCATCATAATCTGTGAGGAATATTCTGAGGAGAAACTCACCTGCAACTCGCGCGCCCTCGCAGCTCCAACACATCAGAAGCAAAAATATCCCTGTCAACTTCATGGTGAATGAAGCACCAACCTGCTGCCTGTGACAAACAACGACAAAACACCCCAACATCTAACCATTTATTACATAAAAACCAATGCCAGACAAAGTCAGTGTGCAGGTTGAAAACATGAAGAAGTTATTAAAGTCGGTCACAAATCAAACGTTCTGCAGCTGCAGAAATATGCATTCCTTAGAATATTCCCAACTCACCTGCTTAACGAAAACAGCAGAGCAAAAGTAATACAATCCCGCAAAAATATTTAGAAATCCAGCAATAATCCTCAAGAGTGAATTTAAGGAGAATTATTTCAAATCAAAAAGTTCCACTGTGAAAAAAGTCTTCTTGTGTCTTGATTGAAAACTTGTCCTTTCTGGTATCGGCCGCTAAAAATCTCCCTTTTAAGCCGAGGGGGGACAAAGTGCTATTTAAATAGTTTGATGCCATTCCTAAGAAGTGGCGTCGTCCAATCACGGTGAGCTGAGAAAAAGGGACGAGCTTAAACCTCTTAACTCAGAGAGAGAGGGAGAGAGAGAGGGAGGGAGGGGGAAAGTCCGCTTTGGATGAGGGACCGACTTCAGTGTGTTGCACTCAGACTTTAATGGACCAGTGTTTCCTCTCACAGCGTCCATCCATCACCCTTCAGAAGTATTTCCATCTCACACATTCCCATAAGATAAGCACACTACAAACTAGTGTTATAGTCCTATTATATTCCACACATGTCTCTATGCTATGTGAAGTGAAAAAACATAACAAAAAGACATGCAAAATCACTCCTGGGTTATTCTGCAAGGTCTCAATATGTCACTATTATATAGTAGAAACATCATTATATTATTCCCATGCACTGTTTGCCTGTGTCCCATGATGATGCAACGTTTACAATTTTGTAATACCTATATATTCCTTAATATACTACAGAATCTCTCTCTTTTTAAGCTTATTTAAAAATCGTTGTTTTATTGTCAAATAGCTCACATATTAGCTCTGAACAGTGGCTTCAGTATTATCCTCCACCTGCAGTTCCAGCTCCAGCCGCTAGGAGCTGATGTGAGTTCACTGGAGAGAGGCCTGAGGCAGTGAGGGCTGCAGCACACCTGACATCCACATTTTCACTGTTTCTGTTGGGTGTTTAAGAGAAAATAAGAGCATTGTAATTAGAGATATTTTATTACACATCCTGTTTTAAGTCTTGAACACTGTAAAAGTGTATGACCGCCTCCACACAAGCTGATTAATTAAAGGTGGGGTAGGTAATTTTGGAAAAACCGAGAAACCAGCTCGAGTGCGCTAGAATTTGAAAATACACAGCCGGAACAAATCTGCCACTTCCTTACAGAGCCCCTCCTCCAAAACACACGAACACACACATGACCAATGAGGGCACGAGATAAGTTTGTGCACAGATGGAAGGCTGACAGGCACCAAAAAAAATCGGAGGGCACGAGATAGTTGTGCACAAATGAAGGTCTGACAGGCAGGTAGGCCATCCAGTGTATTTTAGCCGGGCCGGCTCAGATGATTGGTCCCTATCCCCTGTGTGCTTTGGCAGTCTACGGCTTCCACAGATGACATTTTTTTATGGATTTTTTGTCAAAGCACTTCAGATATTCATTGCTATCCGGATGTTAAGAGCATTCCATGGAATATAACAAAAAGTGTATCTTGAGAGCCGGTTTCTCAAACTTACCTACCCCACCTTTAAGACACTCGAAAGGCAAGAAAACAACATGAAGTGGGAGCATGTTGGTAGAATAGTGGTTTTAAAAAAAAAGATTTTTTAAGCAAAAATAAAAACATCCTGTAGTGGAACACAAACATAATAGCATTGCATTAATAATTCATAAATACAATTTAAATATGATGACAAATACAGAAAATGTCAAATTCAAAATAATGCAAGCAGTACATTTCTACCTTTTTTAAAGATGCCAGTCAAGAATCACACTTCAAATGCTGCACATCTTTTTCAGTGTGTAACCTTATGATGTGAAGAACTTTCATACTTGCATAAATCAAAATAAACAAACATACCGTCTTAATCAGTGATTACATAGACATTTTATTTATTGGGATAAACCCCTTGAGATGCACCATCTCGTTTTCAAGGGGGTCCCAACAATAGCAACAACTTACAGACATACATAAACAAAAAGCAAAACAAGACAAACCACGCAGTCTTAAGTAAAATTCAAGTAATACATACAATCATTAAAATCATTACAATTTGAGCGAGATCAGTTTCATCAATAACAAGTGCAGACCAGTTGAAAGTGAGACGATAATGCATGTTTAAACATACCCAATGATGCAAGAGATCTAATAGCAGCAGGTAAAGTATTCCAGTCTGTTGGTGATTTGAACATGAACGCTCTTCTGCCAAATAGATTTGTTTGCAGAGGGGACAGAGAAATAAATCTGGAAAATTAAATTAGATAGTGTTAGAGGACTAATTTAGTACAGACAGCTCTGTCTTAGTCCTTCGATGTTTGGCAGACTTGTTAGTGCTGTTGTTTCAGATGTATGTAGCAGGATCCCGTAAACCAAACACTCTCTGTTTATACTGACTGAGAAAATCACTGTTTATGGTTGAGGGAGAACTCACTGATTGTTTTCCAGATGGTGACACGCACTTTGTTCTCTTGTCCACTTTTCAATCAGCCAGCTTATGATTCTGATATCCTTTTTCCCTTTATAAGGCAAATGTCACAGCGCGTCCTGTCCTGTGTAAAATCAGACCTTGTTTTGACTACCTGGTGATGGTAGACAGATCCACATTTGACAGATGAGTAATTCTACCTTTTTGCCGTTCTCCGACAGAAAAACTCAAACTTCTACTGTCTGTACATAGCAGTGTAATTCATCTACTTAATGCATAAGACACCTGCTTTTATATGTCGTGCGAGAGGTATGAGTTTAACAGAAATGTGTGCTGGTGTAGGAGCTGCTTTAAATGTCCGCACTGAGGGGTCCTGAGGTCAACTGGGCTGACTTGTCTGGTGCTTGCTTGTCTCAGATCAGGACCCCATATGGAGGCTGAAGGTCGCTTGTCTCAGCCTGTGGACGACACACTCTCAAAAGCTCTCGTGCCTGAACAATTTGTCTAAAATGTAACATAAAAATATTAAAAAGATAAAGATTTGTCGGTTTTGGAAGGCCTTTACTCACGTCGTGTTTGATGCACACTGTGGGAGCTTGTCTAAGCTCATCTAAAACTCCTGTTTGTGTTGGTTTGATATTTTATAAGCTCAGCCTGTGAAGAATTTAGGAGAAAAATGTGCTGCTGTTTTTGGCAGGACAAGATATAAATAAAAGGATCCAGGGGAAATCTGTTTGAATAAACACATTCTGCCACACACATCCAAAGACTGCTGTGTACTTCTACCGTTCTGCTGTGAGGAAGGATGCAACCCAAACAGCTTCTTCTTTCACTCTTGATTTCCTGTTTTTTGCTATACGGATGAAGGGAGAAGAGACAAAGTTAAGTGCAGAAGTGGTTCTAAGAGGAAATGAGATGAGTAACAAGGAAATGAGAAGAAGAGAGAACCAACAAGGGACTGAGGAGAGGACAAAATGAGAAGGGGCAGAAGGACAGGAGACGAGAGGAAAAGCATGGAGAAACAAGGAGATGAGGATGAATCTGGAAAGGAGAGAATAACAAGGGAACAACAAGGAAAAGGGAGAAGGAACAAGGAAAGATGGAGAAAAATAGGAAGAGGAGAAGAAAAACAAATACGAGGAAATGACAAAGAAGAATGAGGAGAGATAAAAAGAGAAAGGACTTATGAGGATAGCGAACAAGGAAATAATACAAGACCAAAGAAAGGAAATAAAATAACAAGGAAAGGTGTAATGAGAGGAGGAAAGTAGGGCGAAACAAGGAAAGAAAATAATCAAAGAGGAGATAAAAGAATAAACCAAGGAGAATAGATAAGGAAACAAAGGAGTAGCGGACTAATTAGAAGTTAGGACATTGGAAAAAGGAAAGTAGATTAGTAATGAAGGGTTCAAATATTAAACAAGGAAGACGAGCATAAATATGTAATTTCGCTGTCCAATCATGCCATGATACTCTTCAGTGTTTTCGCACAGGAATTCATTAAGCGTCACGACACGTCCTGACCCAGGCCTGCTTCCAGGTCCTTGGCATCAGGAAGCTGATGATTCAAGCCTTTGGTATTAAAGGTGATGAGATGGGAGAGTTTTAATGTGAGAGTTGACAGAAAGATGCTCTAGCTCGCTGCCAAAGTGAGTTTTCAGTAGTCTGGGGGGGGGG